AAAAAAAAAAAAAAAAAAAAAAAAAAAAAAAAAAAAAAAAAAAAAAAAAAAAAAAAAAAAAACAGAATTAAACCAGAAGTAAATATCAAAATTCACAGACATACCAAAGAAATGCTGTTTTTGTCTATGGTAAGAATTTCTCCAAAATTGATTACTCTCTACTCGTGGAAACCAACAAGACACTCTAAAATCTGCATGCACCAAAGTCCCTTATTTTGGACCAACCGGGATCCCAGAGAGTGAATGGCACCTACTAAGTAAGAAGGTGGGAGTTTATTTTGGTTTTGAATTTAAATGAACACTCAATGATTTGGAAAAGTCACTGCATATTACGGTGGGAATAGAATACCATCGGCTTTATCTCAGCAGCAGTCTTTGTTTCCTCAAACTAATTAATAGTATAATTCAATTTCATATTGTGTATGAGTGTGTGGCTCTGAGTTTGAAGTTATGGCAATATAAATATTGTTCTTACTCTTTAAAAAGCTTATCAAATAGAAACAAGGGAGGAAACATGAGCACACAGCCAGGAAAAAAAAAAACAAAACTGTAATAAATGTTGCCCTGGCATGTGAGGAAAACCATGGGGGAGAACAGTCTTGCAAAGAAATGAGGGCAAGAAGGAACAGGAAAGGCTTTATAGGAAAAAAAGTGGCATTTTAATTGAACCTTAGGATCAGAGTTTATTGTTTTAGAAATTATTAAAACATTAAAGGAAACCTAAAAGGAAAATACTCACATAATCCCACATAATCGTTTGTGTTATATCGCAATTATTCTATTACAGATATATTTACTGGTTGTAATAATCACAGTATATGCAAAAATATGTGTTTTACTTTTCACTTACTGTCATTTACCTAGAACTTCTCTGCTTACAGCCCTCATTTACCATGTTAACTAGTTCTCTAATATTCCATCAAACTGACACATCCTAATTTATATACCAACTCATCTTCCATTATTACAATGAACATCACTAATATTTTTATACACAAAACTTTTTGTTTTCTTGTGAGTAACCTTTTTAGGGTCAATTTCTAGCAGTGGCCACACTGCTCAAAGGTAACACTGTTCCTCCTCTTGACATGTGTTGCTCATTGTCTGATACTGACAGACATGGCTCAGGAGTGAACAAAATACCACAGCAGGAGTGAGGAGAGAGGCTGGGGGACCTGGCACTCGGCAGTGAGGGGGGATGGGGGGGTGGCATCCTGGGCTCCTCTTCTCCTCCCAGGATTGCTCAATGACATCACCTGCTAGTTTCTTTTTTTTTTTTTTTTTTTTTCTTTTTTTTTTTTTTT